CCTGCACTGTGAATGTTTACATGTTATGTGCAATTAAACCATGGCAACATCTAATGTTTGTGTAGTATTATGTTCAGCAGACTGTGTTCTTCTATTGTTGTGACTTAGATGACGTTCAGAGCACATTTTATGCCCAATTCATGCAAAACTCCACGAAATCCCAAGGGGTTCACATACTTTTTCTTGCATGTATATATATATATATATATATATATATATATATATATATATATATATATATATATGGGATATAACAAGTCTACACACCCCTGTTAAAATGTTAGGTTTCTGTGATGTAAAAAGATGAGACAAAGGTAAATCATTTCAGATTTTTTTCCACTTTTAATGTGACCTATAAACTGTACAACTCAATTGAAAAACAAACTGAAATCTTTTAGGGGGGGAAGTAAACATAAAAAACTAAAATAATGTGGTTGCATAAGTGTGTACACCCTCCTATGGGGATGTAGCTGTGTTCAGAATTAAGCAATCACATTCAAAATCATGTTAAATAGGAGTCAGTACACACCTGCCATCATTTAAAGTGCCTCTGATTACCCCCAACTAAAGTTCAGCTGTTCTAGTAGGTCTTGCCTGACATTTTCTTAGTCGCATCCTACAGCAAAAGCCATGGTCTGCAGAGAGGGCAGACATTGTTAAAAGATATCAGTCAGGAGAAGGGTACAAAAGGATTTCCAAGGCATTAGATATACCATGGAAAGCAGTGAAGACAGTCATCATCAAGTGGAGAAAATATGGCGCAACAGTGACATTACCAAGAACTGGATGTTCCTCCAAAATTGATGTAAATACAAGAAGAAAACTGGTCTGGGAGGCTGCTAAGAGGCCTACTGCAATATTATAGGAGCTGCAGGAATATCTGGCAAGTAATGGCTGTGTAGTAGATGTGACAACAATCTCCCATATTCTTCATATGTTTGGGCTATGGAGTAGAGTGGCAAGATGGAAGCCTTTTTTTACTATGAAAAACATCCAATCCTGGCTAAATTTTGCAAAAGCATATCTGACGTCTCCCAAAAGCATGTGGGAAAATATGTTATGGTCTGATGAAACCAAAGTTTACGTTTTTGGCTACAACTCCAAAAGATATGTGTGGCGCAAAAACAACACTGCACATCACCAAAAGAACACCATACCCACAGTGAAGCATGGTGGTGGCAGCATCATGCTCTGGGGCTGTTTTTCTCAACTGGAACTGGGACCTTTGTCAAGGTAGAGGGAATTATGAACAGTTCCAAATGCCAGTCAATATTGGCACAAAACCTTCAGGCTTCTGCTAGAAAGCTTAAAATTTAGAGGAATTTCATCTTTCACCATAACAACAACCCAAGGCATACATCCAAATCAACAAAGGAATGGCTTCACCAGAAGATGATTCAAGTTTTGGAATGGCCCCCAGCCAGAGTTCCAGACCTGAATAGATCTGAATAGGGCTGTGCACAGGAGATGCCCTTGCAATCTGACAGATTTGGAGTGTTTTTGCAAGGAAGAGTGGGTAAATACTGCCAAGTCAAGATGTGCCATGCTGATAGACTCATACACTTATGCAACCATATTATTTTCGTTTTTTATTTTTACTTCCCTCCACCTAAAAAATTTCAGTTTGTTGTTCAACTGAGTTGTACAGGTTACTTTAAAGGTGGAAAAAGTTCTGAAATTATTTAACTTTGTTTCATTTTTTCATCACGGAAACCTGACATTTTAACAGGGGTGTGTAGTCTTTATATATCCACTGTATGTGTGTTTGCGTGTGTGTGTGTGCGTGCGAGCGCGTGTGTGTGTCAGGGAGCTAATCATAACAAACATGAGCATGTGCTGATAAGAAAATAGCAGAACAAAAATGTGCAAGTTGTGAGGAATAGACCTTGCATAGTACTATGGGGGAACTTAGTAGGGGGAGAAAGCAGAAGTACCAGTGGGGGACCTGAGAAGAAGGGAAAGGGGCTTCTCTGTAAAAAAAACATTGTACCATTGTACCTTTGTGCAGGTAACTATACCATGTTTGTTATTTTTTTTTTTTATATATATATATTTTTTTTTCCCTTTACAATCACTTTAAGTTGCAATTTCTTTCAAAATGTAATCTATATAAAATAAAATACAGGCAGAACGTGTGTATGTTCATGACACAATTGTTAGTTACCTGAGTGAATAAACAAAAAAAAATGTTGGTGCAATAAATGGATCAATCACCCTGTTAACATGGCTAACCGCTATATATAATGTCAGTCAAATATGCTCAAATTGGGAATCCAGTTAGAGAAACACTGAAGAACAGCTACTGGAATCCATGTCCATGATATGAAATGAAATAAATGGTGATTTGCAATTGCTCTTCTTGTGAACAGGAACAAAAACAGTTATCCACTCTGTATATTGAATGTAAAGCAGTTATCTGCACTAAATGCTTATAATTACTCTAAGTTGAACTATACATGTGCTATTATACTTTCATTAACAATTATCGAGGCACTGAAACTCATATTGAGTGGATATAGATAATTGTTCAGTGTGCTAGTATCAACATGAACAAAATAAGGTACTGAAATTAATTCTAAGATGTTAGAGAATTGGTCCCATGTAGTACTAATGCAGACACTACAGCATTAAATGGGGCATTCGCCATACTAAAAAAACAGATTTGTGACTGTAAAGCATTCATCTTTGTAGAATAAGAAAATATACTATAAATTACAACCAAGATACAAAGCGAAAGAATTGTTAATATGCATTGTCTACACAAACAGAATAAGTACAGATGCTTAGAATTACAGTCATCATACAGAAGAAGAGAAATTGTATTGTGCAGCTTCAATAAATAAAAAATAGGAAAAGTGAAGTAATACTGTTCAGTGTCCATAGATACAAAGTAAAAATAGATTCTGAGAATTACATTAACATACAATACGAAGTTTCTAATGGAAGAATGAAATAGGGAGTGGGCAATAAGCAAATGCCTGGGAAAGTAGCTCGGCAGTCATGCACGACTCCTTCAGGAGGTTGAGCATTGGGATACCACCTGAATCTCACTTTTTATAATCTGCCATTAAAGTAATGTTATCCTGTCCTGGATTTAAAAATGGTGAATTTAGTCCTAATCCACATCATTGTTCCTAACATACTAAAAGACTGGAAGATGTGTTTGTTTCATCTGCTGACACCCCCTGGTCTCTTCTTGGAAGTAATCTTTCCCATCCCCTTCTACTTAATCAGATTTTCTTCTATGCACCTATCGCAGCCTCTACGGTTTTGGTTTCCTCCCTACTTTTAGTACCACCTCCATTGTCAACAAGTTATTATGGGCAACACAATGCTGTAATCCCACCCATCTAATCTGGGGCAGTGGTATAGGACATTGTGATGGAGGTGAATAAAGAGGTCTCTCTCTGGATTTTTAATTATTTCTTAAAGTTGCTTTTAAAGGTTCTCATACATAGAGAAAAAACTCTGCATCAGTGCATGACAGTATGAAATCTCACTTTAGATACTGTATCACAGCAGAAGACATTTGGAGACCAAGATTGATAGGTGCATTGTATTGCTCCCAGTACCACCAATTTTAGCATTGCTATAGATAATCAGAGCAGTGTAGGGGCTACCAAACAAAACATGACTAAGGTGATTGCATACCCTCACCTTGTAAAACAACCCATTCTGTTTAAATAGAAATTAAAAGCAAAACATTTGTGTATAAATATAAAAAAAAAAGATTATAAACAGGTCTTCCCCTTTTTATAAGTGATAACATTCCCTCTGTTTTCAGCTGCATAAGAGCTAAGAAAGGAGAAACAGCAGCACACTGATCTACCCAGTGAAAAAGGGGCACGTCAGGACAAGTCTGATCATTGGGGAAGAGCAGGCTGATTTCCCAGAATAGCTAGAGAAATGAGCACAGTGGAGATGATTTACTATAACTGCAGAGTGAAAAATCTGGTGCAGTTGTGCAAGGTAACCAATCAGCTTCTAACTGATTTTTGCACCATTACTGTAAAAATTTTGCGTTTTTAAAACCATTTTTTCGCTAAAAATGCCCAAAAATCCTTATTCGCCGACTCAAACACAGCAAAACGTCCAACATTTCTGCTAAGTTCCTACTAAATATAAAAACTAAACTGTATTGAGTTAATAAATACCAAATATTTGTACATTTAAATTGCGCCTTTTTGTGAAATGGTGAAAACTGAAGGAGCTCAAAACTGTAAATAAACGCAATTTACTCTAAAAATCTAGAGTGAAAAATCATTTTTCATTTACAGCTTTCAGAAATTGTAAAATACCCCCAAACCGTGTCATTTTTGAAAGCATATGTCCTGTAGAATAAAAAAAATGTGCTACTGATTTTTTAGGCCCTGCAATAGTTGCACAAATGTTTATCAAATCACACTTTCCACTAAAAATACACTAAATCATTATTAGTGGACACAAACAAAACATAATTTACAAAATTCCTGCTAAATTCCTATTCACATGAGGCGTACTAAATTGTATGTCTGTGGAGGGCTGTGTTTACCTGCATGGGGATGCTTAGGTGTTCTGTGCAGGTAGTTCCATTGATGTCAATTAGGATGCAGTGGCTGCAGGGACACAGCTGTTGCTCCCAACCTGACATCCTTGCATGGCCCCTACTGTTGAGCTCAGGGACAATCACCTGGACCCCCATGGATATCAACTTTGGAGCAGCGTCTGAGTCCATGCAGTCACTGCATCCCAATTGACATCAATGGAACTGTCTGCATGGGGGATGCACGGAACGCCTAAGCATCCCCATACAGGTAAACATGCAGGAGCATACAAGTGTGGTATACCCTGTGTAAAAAAGGTTTTACTATGTTTTTTTTTTTTTAACCACCTCCCGCCCACCATATGTTAATATGACGGACGCAAGTTGTTTCTCTTGTTCTGGGAGGACGTCATATGACGTCCTCCCATTCTAACCGCGCATGCGTAGCTTCCGGAGCGCGAAGCGTGGCGATCGACGGTGCACTGTGTCCTTCGGACACAGCAGATCACCGATCCACGGAAAGAGCCGAAGATGTCGGCTCGGTTATGTGATCAGCTGTGTCCAATCACAGCTGATCACATGTAAACAGGGAAATGCCGGTTATCGGCATTTCTCTCCCCACAAGCTGTCACGCTGACAGCTCGAGAGGAGAGGAGAGTCGGTAATTGGCATTGAGAGGACATGTACACTGATCATCAGAGCACTGATGATCAGTGTGCCCTGATGATCAGTGTAGCCCCAGCAGTGCCACCTGTCAGTGTCCATCAATGCCAGCTCTCAGTGCTCATCCATGCCGCCTGCCAGTGCCCATCAGTGCCACATTTCAGTGCCCATCAGTGCCACATCAATGCCACATATCAGTGCCATCTGAGCTGCCTTTCAGTGTCACCCATCAGTGCCAGTCAGTGCCACCTATCAGTGCTGCCAATCAGTGCCACCTATCAGTGTCAGTCAGTGCTGACTATCAGTGCCAGTCAGTGCCGACTATCAGTGTGCATCAGTGCCACCTATCAGTGCCCGTCAGTGCTGCCTATCAGTGCCACCTAACAGTGCCAGTCTGTGCCGCCTATCAGTGCCAGTCAGTGCCATATATCACTGCCATATATCAGTGCTTCCTTTCAGTGCCCATCAGTGATGCCTGTCAATGCTCATCAGTGCCACCTACCAGTGCCTCCTCATCAGTGCCCATCAGAGCAGCCTCATTAGCGCACATCAGTGAAGGAGAAAAATCACTTATTTACAAAATTTTATAACAAAAACTAAGAAAAAACTTTTTTTTTTTTCAAAATTTTCAGTTTTTGGTTTGTTTAAAAAAAAAAAAAAGACCCAGAGGTGATTAAATACCACCAAAATAAAACTCTATCTGTCATAAAAAAATGATAAAAATTTCATATGGGTACAGTGTTGCATGACCGCGCAATTGTCATACAAAGTGCAACAGCGCTGAAAGCTGGAAATTGGCCTGGGCAGGAAGGGGGTATAAGTGCCCTGTAGGCAAGTGGTTAATTAATTAATTAATGTAATTTTTTATTTATTTTTACAAGTTTATTTTTAATATTTTGTACATTTTTTTTTGGGGGGGGGGGGGCTTTGGTGAGATATCAGAGGTCTAAACAGACTGATGTCTCTTTTTTGAGACAGCAAAAGGGACTGAAGACAGTTCAGTCCCTTTTCTCTGTAACCTCAATGTAACCAAATAAATGAATAGTGATCTCTGCATTCATTCTTAAACTGTCACATAGTAAACACAGCGATTGCTGTCTGTGTTCATGAAGGAAAGGAATAGGGCTGATAGGGTTTACCAGCACCTCCCCCCCTCCATCCTGACAGCATCTTCTTCCTGAGCAGAAGCTGCAACCGGAAGCAGGGAGGGAGGGAAGCCAGCTGACAGCACTGCATGGAGGGTTTATAGGGAGAGACTACAGGGGGGTCAGAACGGTGGTGGGGGCATGCACTTTTGTGTCTTTTTGAAATCTGCCACTCCCCAGCAACCTAGAAAGCCATCGGGAGGGCAGTGGAGGGATGCCGGTCTGAAGCTGCAGGAGGAGATGGTAGGAAGGACCTGTGGATAGGATCAGCGCAAGGGTGTGGGGGGAGGCAAGGGGGGGTACAGAAAATGGGTGCTGCAAGGTTTAGTGAGGTGGGCAAGCAAGAACTGAACGTGATGGGGTGACAACCCCAGCGGATTAGCGGCAGCAGCAGTGGTAGGGGAAGAGGGGGTGCCACATTTTGTTCAGAAGTGTTTACTGAAGTGACCAGGAGCTTATAGCAAAGGAGGAATGCAGGTCCATATGGCGTACTGACTTGCCCAGCTGGAAGCAGTGCTTTAGGTCCAAACCCGTATGGACCAACAGTGAAACAAAAGCCCTTTTTTGTTTTAAAACTTAAACTACAATAAGGACAAGTAGATTACTAATGTTTTGTGAAAACTGCCAAGAATAAGCTATAGAAAACTCATTGAACATTTATCAGTGGGGTTTATATAAAGACACCAAATAAAGCCTAGGGCCCCTAAAACAAGAGCTTACCTAGGCTAGCTATGATGTTGATGGAGAGATCTGATCTATATCATTCTTGTGATGTTTTCAAATGATGGTAACAGGTGAAGGAAGCAAAATCCAATAAATGTTCCCCGTATTCTAACTTGGGTCAAATGGAAGTTTGAGTGAAAAGTGAATAATACATTTTGGAGGCTCCAACCAATGATAATCCGAACCCAAAACTTGTTATGATATTTAAGCATGTACATGTTTTGTAATCATTAGAGATGAGCGAATCGAACATGACGAAGTGGAATTCGTTCCGAAGATTTGGAAAAATTCGATTCGCGACGAATCCGAAGATTAGCAAACTTCGGATGCACGAATCTAATTTTCCCAAAAATGGCGGCGACATGTGTGGCGACAGAGAAAATGGACAGAGAAGATGGGGCGGGGATCTCTGGGAAGGCGCGCAGACAAGGCGCGCTGACCCATAATGCATTCATGACATGTGATCGCATTAGCCAATCAGCAGCCAGCCAGCACTGTGTAATGGTGGAGCTATAAACCGCGGCCATCTTAGAATTCTCCATTAGCCTACGGTCATTCAAGAGAGACAGACCTGTGTGTATTAAGGGACAGAGTTAGGGCCACAGAGACTTTAGGGCCACAGAATCGTTACTCAGGGACACAGAATCGTTACTCAGGGACACAGAATCGTTACTCAGGGACACAGAATCGTTACTTAGGGCCACAGCTATCAAAGAATCGAAAATTTAAAGTGACATACACCCTTTTTTTTTTTGGTGGCTGTCGTGCACAGTTGGTGCTGCAGTTTGCCGATTGTGCAAAATAAACTGACTTTCTGCTTCACAACCACTATTGTACGTTCAAAGAGTTAAATCCATTTACACGCCGGCTCCTCATGAACGTGGTTCAGCGGGTTTGCATCACTTAACCACTTGAGCCCCAGAGGATTTACCCCCCTTAATGACCAGGCCTTTTTTTGCTGTTTGGCGCTGCACTAATTCAAATGATAATTGCGCGGTCATGCAATGCTACACCCAAACAAAATTTACGTCCTTTTTTTTCACACAAATAGAGCTTTCTTTTGGTGGTATTTGATCACCTGTGCGCTTTTTATTTTTTGCGCTATAAACAAAAAAAAAAAAAAAAAAAAAAAAAAAAAAAAAAAAAAAAAAAAAAAAAAAAAAAAAACCACGAAAATTTTGAAAAAAAAACAATATTTTCTACTTTCAGCTATAAAAAATATATCGTAAACTCAAAGTTAGTCATAAATTTAAGCCAAAATGTATTCTGCTACATGTTTTTGGTAAAAAAAATCCCAATAAGTGTATATTGATTGCTTTGTGTGAAAGTTATAGCGTCTACAAACTATCGTATAGATCAGGGGTAGGCAACCTGCGGCTCTCTAGCTGTTGTGGAACTACATTTCCCATGAGACATTGCAAAATTGACAGTTACAGCTATGACTTGCAGAGGCATGATGGAACTTGTAGTCCTACAACAGCTGGAGAGCCGCAGGTTGCCTACCCCTGGTATAGATGCTGTAATTTATGCCTTTTTTTGCTATACAGCGCTGCACTAATTCAAATGATAATTGCACGGTCATGCAATGCTGTACCCAAACGAAAATTTACGTCCTTTTTTTCACACAAATAGATCTTTCTTTTGGTGGTATTTGATCACCTGTGCGCTTTTTATTTTTTGCGCTATAAACAAAAAAACCACAAAAATTTTGAAAAAAAAAAACAATATTTTCTACTTTCAGCTATAAAAAATATATCGTAAACTCAAAGTTAGTCATAAATTTAAGCCAAAATGTATTCTGCTACATGTTTTTGGTAAAAAAAATCCCAATAAGTGTATATTGATTGCTTTGTGTGAAAGTTATAGCGTCTACAAACTATGGTATAGATACTGTAATTTATGCCTTTTTTTGCTATACAGCGCTGCACTAACTCAAATGATAATTGCGCGGTCATGCAATGCTGCACCCAAACGAAAATTACGTCCTTTTTTTTCACACAAATAGAGCTTTCTTTTGGTGGTATTTGATCACCTGTGCGCTTTTTATTTTTTGCGCTATAAACAAAAAAAACACAAAAATTTTGAAAAAAAAAACAATATTTTCTACTTTCAGCTATAAAAAATATACTGGTAAAACGTAAAGTTCAAGTTAGTTAATAAATTTTAAGCCAAAATGTATTCTACTACATGTTTTTGGTAAAAAAAAATCTGGTGCATTAGCGGGCAAACTGGCGCTATCTAGGAGGGGCGCTAACACTATCGGAAGTCACCAGTGACACTAATACAGTGATCAGTAAAAATTGTTCACTGTAATCAATGACACTGGTGACAGGGCAGTGAAGGGGTTAACTGGGGGGGGGGGGCGATCAAGGGGTTAAACGGGATTTCTGGTGCACTAGCGGGCAAACTGGCACTATCTGGGAGGGGCGCTAACACTATCGGAAGTCGCCAGCGACACTGATACAGTGATCAGTAAAAATTGGTTCACTGATCAGTGACACTGGTGACAGGGCAGTGAAGGGGTTAACTGGAGGGGGGGGGGTGATCAAGGGGTTAAACGGGATTACTGGTGTACTGGCGGGCAATCTGGCGCTATCTGGGAGGGGCGCTAACTCTATCGGAAGTCGCCAGCGACACTGATACAGTGATCAGTAAAAATCGGTTCACTGATCAGTGACACTGGTGACAGGGCAGTGAATGGGTTAACTGGGGGGGGGGGGGGAGATTAAGGGGTTAAATGGGATTACTGGTGTACTAGCGGGCAAGCTGGCGCTATCTGGGAGGGGCGCTAACACTATTGGAAGTCGCCAGCGACACTGATACAGTGATCAGTAAAAATTGGTTCACTGATCAGTGACACTGGTGACAGGGCAGTGAAGGGGTTAACTGGGGGGGGCGATCAAGGGGTTAAACGGGATTACTGGTGTACTGGCGGGCAAGCTGGCGCTATCTGGGAGGGGCACTAACTCTATCGGAAGTCGCCAGCGACACTGATACAGTGATCAGTAAAAATTGGTTCACTGATCAGTGACACTGGGTGACAGGGCAGTGCAGGGGTTAACTGGGGGGGGGGGGGGGCGATCAAGTGATTAAACGGGATTACTGGTGTACTGGCGGGCAAACTGGCGCTATCTGGGAGGGGCGCTAAGTCTATCGGAAGTCGCCAGCGACACTGATACAGTGATCAGTAAAAATTGGTTCACTGATCAGTGACACTGGGTGACAGGGCAGTGGAGGGGTTAACTGGAGGGGGGGGGGGGGGGCGATCAAGGGGTTAAACGGGATTACTGGTGTACTGGCGGGCAAACTGGCGCTATCTGGGAGGGGCGCTAACTCTATCGGAAGTCGCCAGCGACACTGATACAGTGATCAGTAAAAAATTGGTTCACTGATCAGTGACACTGGGTGACAGGGCAGTGAAGGGGTTAACTGGAGGGGGGGGGGCGATCAAGGGGTTAAACGGGATTACTGGTGTACTGGCGGGCAAGCTGGCGCTATCTGGGAGGGGCGCTAACTCTATCGGAAGTCGCCAGCGACACTGATACAGTGATCAGTAAAAATTGGTTCACTGATCAGTGACACTGGGTGACAGGGCAGTGAAGGGTTTAACTGGAGGGGGGGGGGATCAAGGGGTTAAACGGGATTACCGGTGTACTGGCGGGCAATCTGGCGCTATCTGGGAGGGGCGCTAACTCTATCGGAAGTCGCCAGCGACACTGATACAGTGATCTGTAAAAATTGGTTCACTGATCAGTGACACTGGGTGACAGGGCAGTGAAGGGGTTAACTGGAGGGGGGGGGGGTGATCA